GGCGGGCAATGCGTCGTCTATAAAAGAGGTAGCCTGAGTCGATCCAGGGCAGTCCGCCGACCAAACGCCCCGCATCGCCGACACGATGGCTGCTGTGGTAAGAAGCCCGTCTAATCGATCATCACGCTCGTTTGGACCGGCCATCATGAAATTTGATCAGTTTAATGCGAGGGCGGTCGTGTACGATGGCCTGGTGGTGGGGGGATGTAAATGAACGAGTTTTACATCTAAATTTTGCATTGTTGCAAAGCTATAAAGTATCAACAAGGTGGCCGATCAACCCCCGCTCTTCTTTAGTCATGCAATAACGCATTCCTACGCGAGGAGGGCGCGTTGCCTACTCGCTCGACTCGTAAAGCGACGTGGACAGGAGCGGTAGGCAAGCGCGCCCGCACTCGTGCGTGCGGCATAGTATAACCACATGAGTGCGTGGGGTTTAATCAATCTCCTGGGATATGTTTATAATTGTTTCGTTTTCTTAAATTCTCACAGGAAATTTTAGTATGTCAATAGAAATCAGTAAACTAGCCCATTAACTTCGTTTAGATATTTCTAGGAGAAAGCTTAAATACACAACAGCAATGGACTAACTATTGTTGTATAAGTTATACAAAAGAAATCTATCACTCTTTTTTACTGAAGGCAACTGTGTTGAAACTGCGAATATAAAACCACTTTTTAGCCCCGTCTGTAAATATTATGGGGCTATCCTGCCCTAAGGTAACTCATGCTAGATAAAAACAGTCATAAAACAATTAACGACGAAACAGCCGTCTCTTTTGTGTCTTGGCGGTCGCCGCGGTCGGCCTGGGCCGCACGGCCGGCGCGGATCACGGCGCGGTTGGTGGCGGCAGCGATCATCTGGATCGGGCCGCGCGGAGGAATGCAGACAACGAGCCGAGCAATGAGTGCCGAGGGTCGTTGTCAGTTCGTAAAGGCCTGCTCAGCTCGAGCTATTGCGAAACGAAATGAGAATCTTTGACGTGAGTGAATGAGTCGGCGCCAGGGGCCCCTGTGCGGTAGGCACGCCCGCGGCGCAGGGCAGCCATGCCGGGTGGACTACCCAGTCATCTGCAGGCGCTTAGAGCCGCCCATCGGGCCAGGCGGAACAAGAGAATTTGGCTCGCAAAAAAATAATAGGGGGTTAACGCGATTGAGGCGTGGTTATCCCCACCCCCTTTCCCCGCCCGTGGATCCGCGCGTCGACCCCACCGGCCGGGCCGGGCGATCAGCGTCGCGCACACCGACGCACGCACAGACCGGCTGGGCTCCGCCATGGCTCCGCCCAGGTGCTCAAGCTCCCAGGGGCAGCGTGGCGTGGCCTGCTGGACGCAGGATGTTCAGCGGCCCCCGCCCCACCCGACTTAGCGACGCTGCCCCGCCCCGCCCCGCCCCGCCCCGAGCTGCACTACGCCTGCACCGGTGCAGTAATGACCTCACAGCTCGTCGTTACAACACTGCGTTTCTTTCTCGCCGGTCCGGTCATACCACTGCGACTGGGCAGTGCAGTCCCCGCCCCGCCGCGCCTGGGGACTGAACTGGGCGCGTTGACACAACTGGTCGCAGGAGTCTTACTGGAATAACTACTCAGCGAGTAGAGTCGAGGAACTTGACATTCTTCTCGCGGCTGGCGGGGCCGGGTTAGCAGGGCGCCGGCGCCAGGCGGGCTGGCGGCGCTCGCAGCCGCCCCTACACGGGCTTCCTCTTTCCGTCTGGCAGGTGTTCACGACCTTCCTCGGCGCGCTGGCTGCGCTGGCCTGCGCGGCCGCCATCCAGGTCCCCGCCAGCTACGGCGGAGGCCACGGCCTGGGCCTCGGCGGCCTGATTGGTGGCTACGCTCCCGCCCCCGTCGCCTACGCGTCGGCCCCCGCGCTCAGCATCGCCCCCAAGTACGCCGTGGCCGCTGCCCCTGCAGCCTACGCCCCGGCCCCCATCGCCTACGCCCCGGCTCCCGTGGCCTACGCCCCCGCCCCCGT